AAAATTTGTGAAATACAAATAACACATACTGTTTGACTTGCAAATGTAATTACGATCATAATTAAGTCATTGCACTTTTCATTTACATTTTAATTGCTTTTGAAACAATATTTATTTCATTTCTATTTGAGATAAGTCATAGCTTGTTGACTTAAACATTAGCGTAAAAGTTCTTTAATTTGAACCATAAAGCTTTATCTAATCTATTTTCTGTAGTTAAAAATTATTTTTCATCTTTTATTTATTTATTTATAATGTCATTTATTTTAATTAATCGGTTTCCTTCAGTTCTTTCAAATCACTGTGTCGCTTACATTTATTTTGCTTATTGTTAGACATTTACTGCTTAAGGCCAATATCAGTAATATATCTGGCTAATTTATATTAATTTCGTAATTCCTCCTGTTCAAATATGTTTGCTGGCTTGCTCTTTAAATATAGTGAATATGTTCTCTCCAAATTAAGTTTCCAATTAGAACGCTAACGAATAATGGTAGGCTAGTAATATAGAACATGAAATTATTCATTCATATAATTATTTGTAACTAAGGCCATCTCAGGCTTCGCGCGGGTCTTTAGAAAAATTTCAAATTAAAAAATTCACACACACATCAACCCTTCTATTTGCGTTAGGTTACTAAAAAAAGAATATTATTACATAAAGATAGTTTGAATATTATTATTGTATTGAACTTTTATTTTCATGATTAAATGTTGTTTTTTTTATTATTTATCTATTTATCAATAGTTTTGCGCAGCGCACGCGATGTAAATAATATTTTAGGTATTTTTTTACACCTTGAGTTAAATTATTGGAGTTTTAGTAAGTATCCCAAATTTTTGTTCAACAAGAATATAGCCTAGGTCGTTCGGGGATAGTGTAGCTTCCAAACAGTGAAAGAATTTTTCAAGTCAGTCCATTAGTATAGAAGTATAGATTTAGCAAGACTTCAATAAGTTTACTCATTTTGTAGTAAAAATTCGATGATTTGAAAAAAAATTGTAGTAAAACTCCAAATCATCATAAAGATATGTAGCATATAACGAAATGATCACTTAATTTTAAACATTACTGCTATACCAGGTCATATTTCGAAGTCGCGTTAACTATTGTTATACACTGCTAGTCACTAAAATATGTAAAACTCAACCAAACGATCCTAGCGTATATAAAATATAGACGAAATGTTGCAATTTTTCCCCAAAAACAGTACCTATTTTAAATCTAAAACGGTTTCTAGTTTGAAAGCATCTTAGAAACAGCACTCATTACAATGCGGAGCCATGCCTAACCTAGTTTGTCTTGTTTATCTTGACATTTATAGCAGTTTCGATCCTTTTCTGGCGATATCCATTAGTCTGGTACACATTACCGAATGTAACTTGTCTGTCTGTACATGCTCGCGTCCTTTAATACAACAGTATAGAAAGAAAGTAGCTATTTTTCCAAAATGAAACATAAAATAATTTTCGTGACGGGGAGAAGGTTGCTTTTTTTTTATTGCCTTTGTAGGCAGACGGCCCACCTGATGGTAAGTGGTCACCGTCGCTCATGGACGTCAGCAATGCCAGGGGCAGAGCCAAGCCGCTGCCTACCATTAAGTACTCTCTGCAAGCCTCGTTTGATGAAGGACATGTCATAGCGCTCGGAAAACACCGCGGAGGGGAGTTCATTCCAAAGCCGGATTTTAATTACAGTTGGTCTTTATCTGAACCCGCTTGTTACTATAGGCAAGCTTAGGATTCCAACAGGTTATAATAACAAAAATATATGTCACATAATTAAAATGAACGACCTCTATTTCTGATACTCATTTCACTAATTTGGGGATAATAATTGTTTGAATAAGAAATGCCGGTCCGCGTTGTTATCCATCAGACAAAATATATAGGTGGAGGGAAACATTGGGAAGACTACAGAAGAGTCACGATACTCAACAATGAGGAAACGACTGTGAAGAGAAGATATTTTCGATATACATTAAACACAACTCAAACAGTTGAAGTCGTCGTGGCCTAAAGGATAAGACGTCGCGCATTCGTATTGAGCGATGCAAGCAGGCGGGTACCAATTTTTCTAATGAAAGACGTAGTTAAAAAATGTTCACGATTGGCTTCCACGGTGAAGGAGTAACACCGTGTAATAAAAATCAAACCCGCAAAATTATAATTTACGTAATAACTGGTGGTAGGACCTCTTGTGAGTCCGCGCGGGTGGGTACCACCGCCCTGCCTATTTCTGCCGTGAAGCAGTAATGTGTTTCGGTTTGGATATCGGGGAAGCCGTTGTAACTATACTGAGACCTTAGAGCTTATATCTCAAGGTGGGTGGCGCATTTATGTTGTAGATGTCTATGGGTTCCAGTAACCACTTAACACACCAGGTGGGCTGTGAGCTCGTCCACCCAATTAAGCAATGAATAAAAAATTTTCGAACTAGAGAAGGGTCACCACGTTTAGACACAATTTGTGGATCTATTAATGTCATTATAAATAATATAATAATAGATTCAGAAAGAGGAGTGGTTAAACATTGGCCAACCAACGTACGTACATCGAAACGATAAGTTCACGGTCTTACAAAAGGTTGTTTCTCAATATAAATCCGGTCACTCGTGCAATGATTTATGAATAGTGTTTTCTATGGTTTCTGGCCTCAGTGATAAAATTCAATCGTCTAGTTTGGTTTGAGGGGCAGCAACTCAACTATCTCAATTTGGACGGTCTAAAATTAAATCTAGATATCGTTTTTAGGAAACTGTTTCTAGTACCACAAGCGTTACATGTTTGGCGTCAATGGGTATTCGGTCAACTTTTTCAATTTTAAATTTCTCATCTAACATAAAATGTTTTGGAAGATAATTACCGAAATACGTCAACTCGAGAACAGTAGGTTTAATTAGCTACATATGTACGCATTTAATGTAAACTAGTGACCCAGCGGTAGTCGAGATTCGACTATAATTAATTGAAATTATAAGTTTAAACATTATTATGGTTCTATTGTCAAACACTAATAAATTTCGATAATATTATCACAGTATTCGCCAAAACTGCAATATAGATCAATAATATTAATGACAAACAATATTAATCTATTTTCAATTCGATCACAGACTTTAAACAATAACAAAAGTTTCCCAATTGACAGTAAACAAAGAGTTTATTTTTATGTGTGTGTTGTGTCAAATATGGTACATGTTAACCATGGTAAACATGGTAGTGTGCGTAATTTTTTCTTTATTGATTTAATTTATCTTTTATGCATTATTTAAAAAAAAAAATTAGCGTTGTGCACTTCTTCTCTATATTCTCTATAAGTGTGGAAAGTTTCATACTCCTCCGTCCGCGCAATTTTCGTAAAAAGGGATACAAAGTTTTTGCTTCACGTATTAATATATAGATGCCGAAACAACATTTTCGAATATGTAAATGAGTTCGATATTATAAACCAGATAATGTGTTGTCAACTAACACGTGATTCCGCCGTGACGAGTTAAATCTGGGTAAGTTCACGGCCGAACATAGTGCCTTTTGGTTGAATTCGCTCAGTTTTATAATAAAAACTACCTATAAATATTCATAGTATAAGCACGACATTTTTGTTTTAGATCCTAAACTTAATTATAGACAAAGACTTGTCTTTTACGGATCTAAATAAAACTTTTGTGAAGTAAAATTGTTTCTTACTTGTTGGGATACAATCTACGGCGAAACGGAATGCAGAATATAGGGATTTCAAAAATATTGGTTAAATCTGAGTATCTAAGATATTGTATGTCGTATAACTCTTGTTAGAGCGGTCGTGGTCGTCATCCAGTATCATTGCTGTGGGCAGATGTTATGCGCCTCAGGAGCAATCGTCACTCCTCGCGTTTTGTGGTGAGCCTGGTACAATCATGCAAACAGCCGCCAACTGCCGACTTGATCTGGTCGGTCCATCACATGGGCAACCTTCCATGCGGTTTGGTGCCTCCTACTTTGCCCTGAACGACATGGCGCTCTATGGAGTCATTTGCTCGCCGGGAGACATGTCCAAAAAATGATAGTATGCGTCCATGCACGAGCGCCGAAAGACGCTGCTTAATGCCGAGTATAGAGGAGAGTGAAAAGCTGTGTACACATACACACACACAGCACGGCTGCTCCATCATAGACAGTTGAAGATTTACTCTTTAGAGAACGCATTCAGCGCCTCACTGAAGTCCAGAATATCGCTCCTAGAAGGACAGTCTAGTTAATAATCGATTTGTGTCTGGACAAAAAAAACATTAATGCTTTGGACTAGTCACAATGTGGTATACAATATGGTCCCTGTTTCGGTAATAAATGATTTCGTTCGAAATATATTCATGTACAAATAGACAGAACCACGAATCGATTTAATTCATTTGCGACCTTGAGCTTTTGATTGCTGGTAAAAAAAACACATTCTTAAACCTGTTGCGACAGACTAATTTATATATCACTTTTAAGTTTATAAAATTGATCGAAATGTAAAAGGTTTACAACTCATTTTTTTCATTATTATTCATGGTAATGAGTTTGGATCCTTGTGGGATGCCACTGAACATAGTCTACGCAGTGTCGTGCCTCGTAGGCTCGTAGCGTAGGTCTACGCAGGCACCACGCAACCCCACACTGTCTACGACGCAATACGGACACACTTGAGCTACGTCACGCTAAATAAACCCCTCATAATGTTTCAATACAATTTAAATTGAAATTTGTATTAAAGAATTCGTTTCGCATCCAACGTTCGATATTCGTTAGTGTTAAAAATTGTTTTATTTCTATATAAATTATTACTGTCGCATTTTAATTTAAAAACATTTTTATATTCCGATATTCATTGTGAAATATGATTGCGAATGCAAAACGTGAAACTCGCATAAACTGTGCAAAGAATAATTTTAATCAAACAATTGTGGTATTGTTAATGAGTGAGATGGGTATATGTGTGATTATGGCGGTGCGAGCGTGAGGAGTGATGTAGCAACAAGTCGCGGGCGGTAGCGCGGGGCCTCGCTATCGTACGTGACGTCAGGGCCCTTTCACTGTCCGAAGCCGGGCTCCAGCGTCCACGACGGCTTCAGTCCGCGCGGCTCGGTCATAGCGGGAGCACGTTTCACGCTTCGTGTTCCTTAAATAAACCGAATCACGCGTTACTCGTACAAAGAACACTTTCAAATTTATTTCGAAGCCAACTTGCTTAAGCGACGTCGCGCGCAAAACCCTCTCGGTCCTCCGCGCGTTTGCACCTGTTCGGCTTCACGACCAGATCGTAAGAGCGTCAACATGGGCGTCATCAAATTGAGTCCGGACACCGCGTCCCTCATATCTGCCTGCGACTTGCTCGATGACATGAAGGTAAGTCTGCCGGGATCATGTGACTGCCGGCTCGGGCGTTCAGCCAAAATTTCAATTCCGTATTCATGAAAAAATTTGTTGGGATCCATTTCGCCAGACGCCGCCAGTCGCCTCGCGTGGGTCGACTATACGTTCTAGTTGCGATTCTTACAATTACTGTTCTGACGATTTTGTTAACGCTAACAAATTAATTACTGTCAATATTTAATAGCGATAATAAATTTGGCTGCCGGAAAAGCGGTGGACAAATTAAGAAAAAAAATATATACGGAAAAATTCGAATCGTGGATTAATAGATAGAGATTCTCAACGATCGACATTAGCATTGCATATTCGTAAAGATATTCGCTTTTTATAGTTCCGCTCGCATAGTTGTCGTCGTTATGCAGACGGACCACGGTTTCTAGTCGGGCAGTGAAAACTGGTGGAACGTCACACAAACAACCAACGGAAGCGGTTGTCCTTATCAGTTGTTTGTGACACGATTGTCGCAACCAGAATAGCGTACGTGAGAACATTCGCAACGTAAAAACCCGTTTTTTTTTTTTAATTGAATCTAATTATTATCGGCATTATTGTTCGTTATCAAGATAAAAGGAAAGTTTGGTTTTTGAATTAAGAAAGTTCTAGAATTTCGTTTTCAATACATACAAGAAACTAAGCTAGCCGTGCTGTTTTGAATTACTATGAAACTACACGTTTTACACGTACGCAACATGGTAATTGTTGGTGTGGTATGACGCAATTAGAAAAAAAAATTTCGTTCTGTGAATAATCCGTAGAAAAATCACGTTCAAGATGAGCGATGTACATATAAGCACACAATAGTCTATTAAGTACAGAGTTAACACAAAATTAATAATATTCATTCGTATAAATGCGATTTATACTGTAATCTATATATTAAATACGTGAAGCAAAAATATTGTATCCCTTTTTACGAAAATTGCCCGGACGGAGGAGTATGAAATTTCCCACACTTATATAGAATATAGAGAAGGTGTGCAGAATGTTAATATTTTATTAACTTATGCATAAAAATATATATAAAATCAATAAATAAAAACATTAAACACACTACTATGTATTTTACATGCATGCATGCATGCATACTATTTGTTGATTGTCAAACTTTTCTTATTGCTTGTAGTCTGTGGTCAAATTGAAAAATAGATTAAATAATGTTTGTCTTTATTAGTATTTTGTCATTTTGTCTAAAGTGTAGTTCTTAGCGAAATCTGTGATTATTAAAGTTAAATAAATAGACTTTGACAATAGAATCATAATAGTGAACAAACTTATAATTTAAATTAATTATAGTCGAATTTCGACCACTACTATAAATAAATTCATAAAATTTATTCATAAATGTCAGTTAATTAATATTCGTTTAAATATGGAACAGTTCATCGAGTATTTTACGCTGAAGTTTTTATCATATCAGCAATATATGGCCATAGCTTTATATATTATTTTCTTATATATTTTAGAGGCTTTCCATCTTATACGTCTAGCTTATCAATAAATCTTCCGTTGTGATTCAGTTATGTGCTTTGTTTAAAATTTCAAGTATGTTGATCACTGGTTAATTATTTTCAAAACTATTACAAAAGACAAAAAATCTTACATACAAACAATTAAACGGTTCGACAAGAAAACGAGTCGATAAAACATCAATAAATGGGTATATATAAAAATAAATATAGAAATATTAAATCTACACGACTTTAGAAATACATATACATACAATACATTTTACATAAAGTTCTTCACTTAAAAACTGAATGAATACAACAATGTATTAAATGCATTTAAAAAATAAACAACCCGCGCAAACCTGCGTCATGTTTTTTTTTTTGTTATCTTTCAAATATTTAAAACAGAAGCGTTTGCATATTTACCTAAAAAGATCGAATGGAAGTTTTTTATTGATATTAGAATATTAAATATGACGTTGTTAACGCGATCCATTGTATAACAATGTTGTGTTCGCATAGAATTAAAATTGTTTTTTTTTTTCTATGACACTCCGACTCTTTTGTGATTTTTTAATTTTTTTGTTTCTAAAATTTTATTTTGGAAATCTCGATGAATGAACCCTATATAAATGGTTCAGTACATTTATTCGAATCCAAGAGAAACTCGCGATGTTAAACTGGGGTTTCGATCTTGAAAAATATAGATTGAAACTTCAAATACAATTTCGGTGGGCAGCGGCTTCTTTGCCCCGGGCACTGCTCATGTCCATGGGCAGCGGCTACTGCTTACCATCAGGTGCACCGTATGGTCGTCTGCCTATAGGGGCAAATTGTATATTACAACAAACTTTATGACTATACAAGGTGTACTGGTTCGGTCACTCGTGCGGGCTCGCAGACTTACAAAAAGAATGGTGATTCAAATCCAAATAACAAAAATACGATGATACTGCTGTTAATAGAGAAAGGGATCTCGTATTTCAGGGACAAATCTTCGATCTACGGGACAAGCTTAATTGGTTTAGAATTTATGATATAATTGGAACACGAATGAACGCTAATTGAAGAAATGTTAAGTTTGTTAACTGCAGTGTCGTTGTTTTCTCTAAGTTTCTTTTTATTGCCCTTGAAGGCAGACGAGCATACGGCCCAGCTGATGGTGAGGCTCGTCCGCCAGTCTAAGGTAATAGAAATACAAATTATCTCTCTTCTATATATATATATATATAAAAATGAATTTCTGTTCGTTAGTCTCGCTAAAACTCGAGAACGGCTGGACCGATTTGACTAATTTTGATCTTGAATTATTTGTGAAAGTCCAGAGAAGGTTTAAGGGGTAGATAAATATGAAATGCTCGGAATCAAATAAAAATAACAATTTTGTTTTTCCTTTGATGTGTCCCCCGTCGGACGGATTTATTTTGTTAGTTTAAATTTGTTTTAATTTTATTTTATACAAAAGTTTAGGTCTTTTATTTATCGATTGAGGCACTACGAAGTCTGCCGGGTCAGCTACTATTAAATAAATAAAATGTTAACGTGTATAATCTACACTATACCTATATTTTAAGTTCGTAATAAAAGTATAGAATCAATTCGTCCATCTAAAAAGCGATCGGCAATTGTCATCATCTCCCATCATCATTAGCCAATACAAAATAAAAGAATTGTCACTTCTGACGTGTGTACTGAATTTTACTAATTATCTTCAAGACACAATTAGTGTTTACGAAGTGCGCTATGACCAATTGTTTTTAGAAGCCGCTTCTTAAATTAACGCTGAGCATAAAATACAAATTTTTAATTTTTCATTAAAAAGCTACGTAACGAATTCAGTTTGGCTTCTTTAAATCTATTTTTCTATATCGTGGACAACTTTAGAACGTAATTTAGTAAATCCGATATTGCGCGATGACCTTGAACGCTTGAGAATTTAGGATCCGAGTCGTTGGTCCAGTGGATCCGGTTTGAGCTGTCGTATCGTAGGCGGTTACAGTGTGATGTATAAAGTTTAGGCTATTTAAAAGAAATATTGTTATTATTTTGTAACTATAGTACACTGGTGGACGTACTTGGTAGGCAGGGGCTTGGCTCTGCCCCTAGCATTGCTGATGTCCATGAGCGACGTTAACCATTTACCATCAGGTGGGCCGTATGCTCGTCTGTCTACAAAAGCAATAAAAAAAAAACGATCTTCCTGGTATTCGGGGCATTAGCTAACCATTTTATTTTTCATTCACTTCATACAAAATATATTGAAAGAATAACTATACCATAATTTACCCATGTTAAGAACAAAACACAGACACATACGCTCCATTCGTAAAAAATAAAAATGTTCAAATAACTAACGAAAAAAAAAAAGGGATAATTTAATTATGATTCAGAAACTATTGATCCGTTTTTTTTTTCTAACTAATGAAACTAACTTGCTTTATCAGTGTATTTTGGGTCACGTTTTTGCGAACGTGACGAAAAAAAAAAAATTATCAGCGAATGTCAAACTGTTCGCTAAAACTAGTTCTTTGAAGGCACTATTTAATTTCATGCACAGCGTTCAGCCACAGTGAGATCAAGTTTCCTTTTTTTTTTTCTTTGAATGTTTATATTAAAATTCTTAGTCTGACGAATTCGTGTGAAGATCTACAGCTATATATGTATATAGTATATGTTTTGTTATCGGAAAATCGTTCCGAAAGAATGATACATTTTTGTTGAAGATAAATAAAGAACACAATAAAAAAATTACTTGTTTTAATATATTCCCGCGTAGGGAAATATATCACCACACCCTGTATTTTCAATGCTAAATTAGAAACAGTCATTGATAGGTTCTTATAGACAACTTGTTTTTTTTCATTATGTAGTCTGGGTGAACGAAAGTTGTGGTAAGTTATTACCGTAGCTTATAGATATCACAGCACAAATGCGACTATCCACCTTGGGGGACTTGACGTCTACGTCTTAATTGTAAAGTAATTTACTGGTGGAAGGACCTCTTATGAGTCCGCACGGGTAGGTACCACCACCCTGCCTGTTTCTGCCGTGAAGCAGTAATGCGTTTCGGCTTGAAGGGTGGGACAGCCGTTGTAACTATACTGAGACCTTAGATCTTATATCTCAAGGTGGGTGGCGCATTTACATTGTAGATGTCTATGGGCTCCAGTAACCACTTAACACCAGGTGGGCTGTGAGCTCGTCCACCAATCTAAGCAATGAAAAAAATTTAAATTAAAGTATAGCTTTATCAATTTTTAAGTATCTCAAATGTGGTCTCGTGACTTGGTAATTAGGCGCAAAAGATGACGTCATTTGACCTTGAAAGGTTATAAATACATCGCGACCGCGGCCTTGGAGTAAAAAAATAATAATAATTAATAAGCTAAATAAATTAACTAAAAATTAGCTAATAAAGCTAAATTGTATAGTAATTTTGAAGAGGCTCATCAAACGTCATCTTTTCACTCGCACCCTACTCTCGCATATCCTCTCTCGCATCCCATAGTCATTTACGAACTTATC